AGGGTGCATCGGAAGGACCAGAGGTCGGGAATTATACGAAGCTCCGGGGGCAGCTCATTCCAGAGGGAAGGCGCTCCCGCAGAGAAGGGTCTCCCCTTGGGGGTCGCTAGACGACACTGTCTGGATGACGGCACCCTGAGGAGGCCAACTCTGTGGGATCGCACTGGACGGTGGGAGGCTACCGGTGGCAGTAGGTGGTCTCGCAAGTACCCTGGGCCTAAGCCATGGAGTGCTTTAAAGGTCATAATTAGTACCTTGAATCGCACCCGGAAGACAACCGGCAACCAGTGCAGGCCGCCTAAAAGGGGTGTAACATGGGAGTACCTGGGTGCCCCAATCATTCTCCTGCCTTGTGTTTACTTGGAAGAACCACCTGTTGGTATTGTACATTTATTCATCTATTCTTATGTATATAAAAAAGTTAATGAATCCAGCTGAATCATTTATCTGTGCGTGCTTTCTGGATTTGAATTTATGCAACAAAGTCTGACAACTTGTATGTGCAGAGCTGAATGGGTCCAGAGGAGAAGAGGAAGACTGAGAAGGCCACAGAATGTGATGATAAACTCAGAGACAGAAAAGGGAGTCGTTGAAAGACAACACAAGATAGTTGTTTTTTTTTACAAAGACATAAAAAAATGGAGAAGAAAAATAAACAGCATAGATGTAAACGTTGTTATCTATACGCTGTTTTTTTCCTCCTGCTTTTAATTTTGGTGCCTTGCTACTACTTGTTCTCTGTGCTCTACAGAACATTGCTTACCTCAGAAGAGAACAGTGTGGTAAATATATGTGTATGTTTAAGTTACGTTCTGTGGTCAAGCTGTCAGATTTAACTAAGAATCAATAGCAGAGTCAACAACTGTTCAAGGAAGGGTAGCCAGATGTAGCTTTAATTATGTATATTTTTTGGCAGACAAAAAGCCATGTGCATGGAAATTCTGCCTCATATCCACCCTGGGACTGTTTAATATTTCAGGTTTGTGTCTATACACTTATGCAGCTAGAACATAATTTGCTTTCCCCCCCCCCCTAAAGGAAGAAAACTATGCTTATATTCAGAGTTTTGAGAAGGTATCTAATGGGGTGAGTTTTTGGTTAAGCAGAACAACTTAAGGAAATGAAAAAAAAAAGAGGAACATCACACCATAGGGGAAAGTTCTCCTCATCAACACTATTTGGGTCCCAGAAGGACCAAGAAAGAGGACGGTTTTTTGATATAATAAAACCAAGTTGATAAACCCTTGAGTAAATGTAATGATAGGTGTTTTATCTATAGGTATCTAGCTGCCTGGCATTTGGCAGAAGAGACACATGTACAAGTTGTATTGCCGCAGACTTAATCTCTCCCCTGGTATAGCTGACAAAGTGAGGAGAGCCCATGGCTTTGAGGTTAATACATCTACCTAATATGCAAAAGCCCAGGTTCGTATCCCAGTAAGGGTATGGCTAGCTGATGTGAGCTAAATAACTTGAAATAGATCTATACTAATCTCCCCTTATGTACAAGTTGTATTGCCGCAGAATTAATCTCTCCCCTGTTATAGCTGACAAAGTGAGGAGAGCCTGTGGCTTAGAAGTTAATACATCTACCTAAAATGCAAAAGCCCGTGTTCGTATCCCAGTAAGGGTATGGCTAGCTGATGTGAGGCTAAATAACTTGAAATAGATCTATACTAGTCTTCCCTTATTTCTTTGTCAGTAAATATAAATTCAACACAAAAATAGTTTGTTGCGAAAGTGACTGCCTGTGAAGGCTTCTGGATCGGGGCTGAAAGGCGAAAGTGGAATACCCATGGAAAGTATGCTCCATCCCATAATTGGGTAGATAGACCAGGTTGCCCTGATAGGCTGGAAAAAAAAATACTTAGTTGAAAAATGTTGCATGGATCCCTTGTAGTCCATGCAATTTTTCTATTTCCATATGACATCTCTATGATTCTTCAGTTTTTGGTAGGAACATTTCTTTTAGAATATGGAGAAGCTTTAAACCGGTTCTTCCTCCTCACATGTTGAGATTGTTGTTGAGACCTTAGAAAGAGTGCAGAGAAGAGCAACCAAGATGATGAGGGGATCGGAGGCTAAAACATACGAAGAATGGTTGCAAGAATTGGACATGGCTAGTCTAGTGAAGAGAAGGACCAGGGGAGACATGATAGCAGTCTTCCCATATTTGAGGGGCTGCCCCAGAGAGGAAGGAGTCAAGCTATTTTCCAAAGCACCTGAAGGCCAGATAAGGAATAATGGATGGAAGCTGAACAAGGAGAGATTCAACCTAGAAATAAGGAGACATTTTCTGACAGTGAGAATAATCAACCCACGGAACAGAAGTTGCCTTCAGAAGTTGTAGGAGCTTCATCTCTTGAGACTTTCAAGAAGAGATGGGACTGTCATTTGTCAGAAATGGTGTAGGGTCTCCTATTTGGGAAGCGATTGGACTAGATGACCTACAAGGTCCCTTCCAGCTCTGCTAATCTGTTAAACCTGTCATCTGAATAAAAGCCTAATTGCACCGAGGCACAATTGTGAAAAAGGAGAACATTCATTCTGCAATTTTTCTAGCTTCCCCTTAGATATTATCCCAAACCAGTAAACTAGAAAAATTATCTCAGGACACAATTTTCTAAGATGGGGAATAAATTATCACCCTAAGATCCTGCTTGTTGGACTTCATGGGTATTTAGTTGGCCACTAAATAATGACATGTGTTATCTACACCAAATTTATATTTTTGTCCTGGGCTATGTATAGGCGCTTATTGTTATCTAGTATTTCGTTCTGTCTTTGCTTTTTGGTCAATAGCATCTACCCAGATAAATAAGAGATCTGTAAATGTGTGTACAGGTAGTCCTCAATTTACAACAATTCATTTAGTGACCATTTCAAGTTACAACGGCACTAAAAAACTGATTTATGGTCCTTTTTCACTCTTATGACCTTTGAAGCATCCCCATGGTGAAATGATCAACATTAGATGCTTGGCAACTGACGTATACAATATATTGCCAAAAGCATTCGCTCAACCATCCAAATAATCAGAATCAGGTGTTCCAATCACTTCCATAGCCACAGGTGTATAAAATCAAGTACCTAGGCATGCAGGCTGTTTTTTTTACAAACATTTGTGAAGGAATGGGTCACTCTCAGGAGCTCAGTGAATTCCAGGGTGGAACTGTGATAGGATGCCACCTGTGCAACAAATCCAGTTGTGAAATTTCCTCGCTCCTAAATATTCCAGAGTCAACTGTCAGCTGTATTATAAGAACGTGGAAGTGTTTGGGAACGACAGCAACTCAGCCATGAAATGGTAGGCCACGTAAACTCATCCAACATCAGTGTGTGACCTCACAAATGCGCTTCTGGAAGAATGGTCAAAAATTCCCATAAACACCATCCTGAACCTTGTGGACAGCCTTCCCGGAAGAGTTGAAGCTGTTATAGCTGCAAAGGGTGGACCGACGTCATATTGAACTCTATGGATTAGGAATGGGAGGTCACTTACAGTAAGTTCATATGCGAGTAAAGGCAGGTGAGCGAATACTTTTGGCAATATAGTGTACCTGTGACAGTTGCAGTGTTCCAGGTCATGTGACCCTCTGACAAGGAGAGTCCATGGCAAAGCCAGCATCACTTAACAACCATGTTACTAACTTAACATTGACAATCATTCACTTAACAGCTGTGGCAAGGAAGGTCCTCAAATGGGTCAAAACTGACTTAATGAATGTCTCGCTTAGCGACAGACATTTCAGGCTAAGTTGTGGTCGTAAATCGAGGACTACCTGTAGTTATCGGGATTGAAACAAAAATTGTCTGCCTATTGGAATGCATATCACAATAAGTACAGATAATCCTGTGTAACTGTGGGAAACACTCCTAAGTCACTTTGTTCAGGGCCGTCCTAACTTGCAACGGTCACAAAATGAAATGTTGTAAGTCTAGGAGTTACATTGCCCGT